ACCTGCAGAGGCGACTACCTTAGAATTACAAAGTTCTACCTGACATTTTTGGCTGTTTTTAGTTACTAAGACCATAAGGTCAGAAACCAAACGTTCTATGTGCTCTATCAAAATCTTAAGATTATTCGGAGTTATAATCAAGACATTCAAAGAATTCCATTTGAAAAGCTTGGCATGTTGTGAAACTTAAACATATTCTTTGAACTAGGCATTGAGCAGATTAAACCTTGTAATTCTAAGGTAGCGATATAATAATATTATAAAAATACATATTTTGCATATAATACATTCATCCTATAGATCAGCAATATAATATAATACACATTTTGCATATTATATAATACATACATCCTATAGATCAGCTATTTACCTGATGGCGTCTGTATAACTCTTTCGCCTCTTCTTCTCTTCGGGTGGCAGAGCGTCCCACTGGAAGGCGAGGTCATTCATGCGAAACACTCCTCGCACCGCCACCTTGTGTGTGCACTTCAGGGTGAAAGTCGATGGAGAAATGCGTTCTATGTTTGGGAAGACGACTCTTGTGTAGTTCTCTTTGACTCTAGCCAGTAACGGTTCCAGCCAACCTGGAACATTGTTGATAAACTCGTCACTTTGGCCTGCTTTTTTTTCTTGTTGTTGACACACAACTGTTGTCCCCCCCCCCCCCCCCCCCCCCCTTTTTGCAGAGAGGAGCAACATTTCTCAGAATCCGGGTTTCTCTGAGAACTGTGAAATCTATTCATCCCTTCGCATCAGTAAACGATCTAGACTGTTTTTCACAGGTCTTGTCTCTGTTTATAAGCTAAAATGCGTTGTTGAAATTGCCGTAAAACTCAAACTTACGGTAACCTCGCGTTCTCAGGGTACGTTCTGACGGCCAGTCTGGCGTGAAGAAAACTCGCATTGTGCACGGAGGGACCAGGGACTACTACAACGACAATCACATCTCCGCCTCCGCCATTTCTGCCCACGACCACGCAGATTATGAGTACGTGCTCGGCTTGGGTGAGTAGTTGTTTCTTGTGTTGCCCCACTATATTATGATCTGTTTCGTCTCAACAGTGCCTAGTGACAAATCGCTACCTCAGAATTACAAAGTTCTATATATCTGCTTAGTACCTACTTTGGAGAAATGTGACGTCAAAGATTTTGAGTTTCACATCATGTCAAGCCTTTTTCGAATACAATTATTTGAATATCTTGATAACAACTCCGAAACATTTTACGACGTTGATAGAGCAGAGAGAACATACTTTGGTTTCTGACCTCATGGTTTTAGTACCTCAAAACGGAGAAAAATGTCAGAAAGACCTTTGTGATTCTGAGATAGCGAAATGATTTTAATGCAGTATGCTTGATACAGCTTTGCCTGGGTGGAGGACATACAGGAAGTAGATTAGCCAAGTACTTCATTGTACTTCCCTCCCTCAGGTCTTGGCTTCCTTGATAAAAATACTTTGAGAAAATATGTATTATATGCTCCAAAGGAGAGACTTGGTCACTACGTTTGGAATCACGAAAGATGTAAAGGTGTGGCTTACCATTTTACAGGTGCAATAGAACTATTACACATTTTTCATGGTAGGTAAGCCTTTCAATTTTGAATTTTTGCCCCCTATTGTTACATTTTTAGTTTGTTTAGGAAGCAGGCTGCTCTGATACTACCCGTTAGAACCGACCCGGGTTGAGTGGGACACAACGATTCTACAGACGAATAGGACTACTCGATTAACAAACGTAAAAAAAAAAATCCCAATCGTGTCCTCTGCGTGCGACGGCGTAGAGCCTGACTGCTACACCACCGACGCTGGTGATTTGGTGGACCAAAGTCATAAATACTACAATACAGTTTCTCTTTTGAACACTCTCTGTTTATGTTCAAGTGGGACGAATGGACATGCATTATAGACTTTTACCATGTATCTAATTTTTGCCTACTGTGACGTCTTAAAGACACAGACCCCGAAAGAACAAACAAACAATCAAACAAACAAACAAACAAGAAGCAAATAAAAAAGTAAATAAACAAACAAGTAAACAAATAAAAATCGGCATATCATTCAAGGATATAATTTAATGCCTCCTCTCAGGCTCTGTTATGGAAGCACTTGATACAAGACTTGTAATGTAATATCACATCCTTTTAATATATCATTATGACCATGAAACAGTCTCTCCAATACCATTAATTACTATAAGCCGACTCAAAATAATAAAAAAGCCGATATTGCATTTTCTAAAATCTGCTTATCACCCCCTTCTTCAGGAAATGTATAATTACTACCTTATGTATGCTTGGTTAACGTGCACTTGTCTGTCTGTCTGTCTGTCTGTCTGTCTGTCTGTCTGTCTGTCTGTCTGTCTGTCCGTCCGTCTGTCTGTCAACTCAACCCCCTTTTACGCTATATTTTTCTACCTTCTTGCTATTCCTCAGCATTACATATTATATTAATATTATATTAATATCATAATATAAATAAGGCACTGACTGAAGGCTGTCCCCGTGCTACTCTTTAACTCACTAAAACAACACTGGTTTTACTCTCCTCAAAGATCGCGTGTTAAGATCTTAGATCGGCTCACACCTTCATTGCCAATATCCACTCCCACAAGCGAACAAAAATATGTCAAAATATTCAAACAACACGACCATAAGAGATGTTAAAAGCTAAGTAACAGCAGCAGGAAACAGCAGTAACATAGCCTCAGCTAAGTAATAACAAGAGACAAGAACAACAACTAACCCCCAAAATAGCAACAACAATAACAACAACTAAAACAACTAAAACAAAAACAACAACAACAATAACGGCACCAGCAGCAAAAGCAACGACACTACTATCTATGTCTTTGAATTCTTTGTTTTAGTTGTAATGTTCTTGCTGTTCTGTTTATAAGCTAAAATGCGTTGTTGAAATTGCCGTAAAACTCAAACTTACGGTAACCTCGCGTTCTCAGGGTATATATATATATATCTCCCCGCCCCCCTCTCTCTGACAACATTTTTACTGTTCACAGACAGTCGTATGGTGTTCGGTTCTGGCCCTGGTGTGCTCAGGACTTATTAGGGCGAGCGCGCTAACCGGACCTACCGTCAACCCTACCCCCAGTGCGGCTCAAGGTGACTGTTTTTGTGTGTGTATATCTTATACTGCGCCTATTAACACAGCTTTTATATGATTTTGGAGGCGAGCTTCTTCACCTCGTTTCATTGCTGGTCATTCATTGTCAGCAGTGTTATACGTCTGTACCTACATAATTTAGATCGTTTAGTAGGCGGGCAACTTCGACCCTACCTTCCAGGTCTTATCTGGGCTCAGTGGGATACAGCATCCTAGCAGATAGATGGAGATACTTGATGGAGTACATGGGAATCAAACTCACCTCCTTTGCGTACAACGCCAGACAGGTAAATCATTACATCACAAGCGTCGTTATTGAAGAAAAGACATCGGGTTTACAACCTTGGGCGGCTGTGAAGAGTATATCTTAATATGCATTCCTCTCGCTCGTTGACTGTTTTATTTCGGTATTTGTCACTTCTTTGAGAGTTCCTTTTTGTTTCGTGTCCCTTTTTTTAGTGATTCTCTTCGTTTGTTTGTCTTTTTTCTTTCTGATGTGCATTTTGTTTTTATGTGCTCTTGTGAGTCAACCCAAACGAACAAACAGAACGACGCACGTGGGTGGTGGGAATTCAAAATCTTTATTTATTGTTTGTTTTAGTAAAAAGGTAAGTAAACTCAGTGTTTAAAGCCATTGGTTCACATCATATCACATAAAACACTCATTTGTTAAATAAAGTTTCCATAATGAAAAAGTACAGGTTGTGCACATATCACTATCTCTTATCATGGGTCAAACATTGCATATTCTGTCACTGGGCCAAGTCAGACTGGGAGGAATTGGCAATTTCTTTTGATGGGCAAAATTTGGACCAAAACAAATACAGTGAAATTCATCTTCAATTTCATGAGAGTTACACCTCTCACATAAAGGTGAATTTATTGATTTCCATCAACAAAGATTGTTATTTAATTGAAGACTTGATCTATGATTTTTAACAAGGCTACGCCTCTTCTGTTCATATACCGTGGGAGGTTGATGATATACTCAAACTGTTTCTTGAAACGGAATTGTAACAGTGAATACTTTATACTTGCGGCAGATTTTCCCCGCTATGTTCTACACAGTAATATTAATATCAACAAGCGTATTTTTCACTTCACAGAGAAATAATTTAGTGCATCCAACGCTTTGAGAAAACCTGACATTCCCAAACCTCGTATTGTTTTTT